AGATCCCACGGGAACGGCGGGAATGGCGGGACTGATCCCAAGGGAACGGCGGGACAGATCCCACGGGAATGGCGGGACTGATCCCATGGGAATGGTGGGACTGATCCCATGGGAACGGTGGGAATGGCGGGACCGATCCCATGGGAACGGCGGGACCAATCCCACGGGAATGGCGGGACCGATCCCATGGGAATGGTGGGACTGATCCCACGGGAATGGCGGGAGATTCCACGGGAATGGCGGGAGATTCCACGGGAATGGCGGGACTGATCCCATGGGAATGGCGGGAGATTCCACGGGAATGGCGGGAGATCCCACGGGAACGGCGGGAATGGCGGGACAGATCCCATGGGAATGGCAGGACTGATCCCACGGGAATGGCGGGACTGATCCCACGGGAATGGCGGGAGATTCCACGGGAATGGCGGGACAGATCCCACAGGAATGGCGGGAGATTCCATGGGAACAGCGGGAATGGCGGGACTGATCCCACGGGAATGGCGGGAGATTCCATGGGAATGGCGGGAGATTCCATGGGAATGGCGGGAGATTCCACGGGAATGGCGGGACTGATCCCACGGGAATGGCAGGACTGATCCCATGGGAATGGCGGGACTGATCCCATGGGAATGGCGGGAACAATCCCACAGGAATGGCAGGACCGATCCCACGGGAATGGCGGGAGATTCCACGGGAACAGCGGGAATGGCGGGACTGATCCCACGGGAATGGCGGGACTGATCCCAAGGGAACGGCGGGACCGATCCCACGGGAATGGCGGGACTGATCCCATGGGAATGGCGGGACTGATCCCATGGGAATGACAGGAATGGTGGGACCAATCCTGAGGGAATGGCGGGACCGATCCCAAGGGAACGGCGGGACCAATCCCACGGGAATGGCGGGACCAATCCCAAGGGAATGGCGGGATACACTCAGCCAACCCCCCAGGAATGGCAGGAACACGCAGCCGATCCCATGGGAAGCTTTGGGAATGCTCAGGGAATGGCGTGACAAGT